GGCGAATCGCAGTTCTTGCGACTATCCAAGCAGCCCAACGCCCTCGATCCCGTTTCGGCAATCTGTGCGATTCTCGACAACGTCTCTGGCACGGCTTTGGGCCCTTTGTTTCCATCAAGCGACCGAAGCGGTCCAATCAATCGAGGCACAGTGTTAGCATTCTTACGACTTTATAAACCAGCGGCAAATGTTACTTGGTCCGGTCATAGTTTAAGAATTGGTGGGGCATCCTTTAAAGCGCATATGGGGATATCATGCAAGGCCTTGATGAGATCAGGACGTTGGAAGTCCTCTTGTTATAAACTTTACGTTAGGAGATACGACGCAACTACGGCGCGTGGAACGATGCGTTTAACTAAACGTTTGAGAGTGGAAGGCCTTCGGGCTGGTTGCTGATGTTTCACACTTGTACTGTTATTGTGGATTATTGTGTGTGCATCTATGATGTTAAAATTGTAATCATTGGGTGTTTTTCTTAGCGAGCTTAGTCCTCCGAGATTGGGGTTGAGACCCTTTAGCAGGGTCTCGGCTCTTTGAGACCTTTGCTCCCTGAGTTGGGCTTAAAGGGTCTCTACCCCAAATCTTCGGGATTCCCTCGGGCTATCGCGTGATGCCTAACCAGGCACACTAGCGGTGTTGTCCCGAAACGCTAGGCGTTTTCTTTACACCCAAAGCTGAGCAAGCCTCACTCCTGATTACCAGGAGCAAGTCTTGCGCCCAGCATCAATACCTAGCGTATTGCTGAGGTACACCTGATTAAGAAGGTGATTACCTTTTAATCCTCATCTCTCGGAAAAGAGATGATTAGACATGTAGTATAAAACATTTCGTTGGCCACACATGTGAGCACCAAACTGGGCGTCTGGCATGTTTCCTCTCCACGATAGATACGAAGCATGGAAACAAAGATCAAATTACGAAATTATCATCAAGACTTCAAGATTTTTCATTATTTAATTAAATCAAGACATCAAGATTTTCATTATTCAATTACATCAAAGATATTCATCAAGGGGCAATAAAGGTGGAAAAATATCAGGTTTCTTTTGTTTTCTCTGTGTGCTTTTCAATTTTTTCTTTCCTTTTTTTAATTTTTCAGGCTGCGATACATTAATTTCTATTATAAGTTTCTCTTTCTAATTGCACTAGGGACCAGTCATGGTCAATTTTTTGGGGCAAGTCATGCCATTTTTTTCATTTTCAAAATTCTTTTTCTTAGGAGGGGAGGGATGTAAGGTGTTACATGTAGACTTATGGGTTAAACATATGGACTTAGATGGGTAGCGGATTACTTGTACTCACAAACGCCCTAGCTCCATGAAGATCCTCTCTTCACCAAATACCCTTCGGATGGAGCTAGGTGAGCTTTCATCATTTCACTTATCATTTCATTTTCATCAGTCTGTGTCTCTTTTCTTTGTTTCTTGTAGAGTGTGTCTGATGTCCTCTCTTCACCGAATACCCTTCGGATGGAGCTAGTTGTCGGAATTGGGAATATATAGTTGGGTTTTAGATTACCTCTGGAGCTATTGCTCCTTCTGTGCCAACCCGCAGTGAAGATCCTCTTGAGGATATTACAGCCTGGAGCAAGATCCTACCTTCTTCAAAGGGTCCAAACTGTAGATTATACACTGAATTTACTAGATCAATGCTTGGCTACACCACTGAATCCCGAGAATATCCTGATCCACCATCTATGATTGAATTGGTCACCCTGCCGCCACTTACTATAAGGAAGCCATCATCCATAATTCCTCAGTCTTCACCTTGTACAGCTCTTCCACCCATTCCGACCCCACCTGCGACTGGGTGCCGTTCAAGGCACTCCTCCAAGCTGATCTTTCAAGACATTTAATCAATCAATACACTTTCCAACAGGATGCTTTTAACGGTGAAGCCAGCAAATGGAATCAAGTGATGATATATTTCACCATGAAGCATTGGAAATTTGCCAAAAACACTTCGGCTTTTGACCAGTTTGGACTGGATCTTGATCAAGATAAAGACATCACCCAAATAGGTATCATGACTTGCTGGCTTTGTGGCAAAATTGAGCAGATCAAGAATGGGTTTGATGAAGATCCCAAACTTAGACAGAGGTATAGGAGTAGGAAAAAAAGAGAAGTAAGTCACAATACGTTTGCTGAATAATACTTTGAGCTGATGACGTATTTGACCATAGCTCTGGGAATATCGCCAAGTGACTCTCACTGCATATCTTACAGAATATCTTGACCTCCGACCAAATGCAGACTGTTGTTCAGAAACTGAAGATAACCCTCAAGTCCCAGTTCAGCAATTGATTTGTCCTTACTGGTGTAGTGGAAAATATGGCAACTGGCTACATGAAATTGACAGGCTTTCCTATGATCATCAAGACGGTGTTATGCAAAGATTCCAAACAGCCAGCCAATTTGACACTCATTTCCAGGAAGGGAGCACAATCAACGCTCTGACTGCTATTGCTGCACATGTATCTGCCTCAAATAAACTTCATTACTCACCCCTTTGTCAACACTCGCTTTTACACCAAGCTCAAATACCTTTTTAGCCTAGAACATATGATCCCTTTTCAATTCTCAATCATACATATTACAAGACAAGAAAATCAGGAAAGAGAGAAATCAGAGTGTTTTTCAGTGTATGTACAAACATTTCAGGTCTTTTAACCAAGTTTAACTCACTTGCAAGCAATGTTATTCACCTGCTGACTGAGGTGCTTGAGGGACAATGACATCTTGAATGATTATGCCCTTATTATCCAAGGAGCCTAACATCCATTTTGGGAAGCTGAAGATGTACTTCACCAGCTTTCTGTTCAGCAAGAACAACAAGCCAAATCTGTCCAAATTGAGTGAAATTTTCGCAGGCAGATTCAGCTTGTTGTTCTTGTTGAACGGTAAGCTGGTGATGCATCTTCATCTTTGCAAAAACGGAGGTCAGTATTCTCCAATAATAAGAGTATAATCATTTGAGATATCATTGTCCTTAAGAGGTTTTGCCGTTTTCTCAACCACCTCGGTCAACAAGTTGATAACATTTCTCACAAGGTTTTTAAACTTGGTTAAAAGACCTGGATCAGATTTAGTAACTCACGTTTATTTTTAATTCAATTTTAACAAGTGTGCATCTCCAGAACTACTCAAAATATGCCACCAGAAATGGGTTCTAATGTTCCTTTGTCACCTCTTTGTTCATAGACCTCCAAGTGAGCACTTGATCCTTGTATGGACCTTTCAGCTCGTTATTCAATACTGGAAATGCAGTCTATCGCAGACACGTCAAAAAATCAAGTCAAGGTCTTATCATCAAGGTCTTGTCAGACCCTATGCCAATCTTGGAGTAAGACATTGACTTGGTTTTTCAATGCGTCTGCAATAGAATGCATCTCTGGTATTAGATAAGTTGCTGAAAGGTCCATACAAGGATCAAGTGCTTCATCAGAGTTGGATGAACAAGGAGGTGACAAGGGGTCACTAGAGCTCATTCCTGGTGGAATTTTTTGATGTTCTTTTCTTGAGTTAGACTGTGGTTTTGGAATCAAACTTGTACTCCCCCTTGATGTTTTGCCTTTCTTTCTATTTTTTGTTTCACCAACAGATCCAGCTTGTAGAACAAAAAGTGTCTCAGCCCTTTTCACCAAGTTTAACTACCTTCTGAGCAAAGTTAACTACTTGTTGACTGAGATGGTCGATTTGGCTCACAAGCTAGTTGACCTCTCCCACTGTGAATAGATTTAATCACAGGGGCCAAAATTGATGCTCACATGTATGTGAGTATTGTAGACTTTTTTGAAGTCTCCAAAAAAGATTCATTTTCTTTCAGATTCATTCAATGCACAATTTTGGTTGTGTTCAGGTGATCAGCCTGTTTTGCTCATATTTTGCTTGAGATTTCTTGAGAAGGCTCATTTCCATCTTGGATGGCAATAACTGAGTCCAGATGAGTACTCAGGATCAGCTCATGAGTAACTGAATACTCAGAAATTTGTTCAAAATGAACATGAGCACATGAACTACAGCTTCCTCAGGCTTCATTTCCGACTGAAGAAGCCTGCACAGGGGCTGTCCCATTTGAGCTGCTCAGCAAATACTCAGTAGCATCCCCTGGCTGGGTCACTAATGGGCCAGAATTTCCTCAAACTTCCTTGCTAAGGAATGAAGCCTGATAAAAGAGCCATCCCCCTGCTCATTTTAGCTCATCCACTCAGCTAATCCTAAGTGATGTCCCCTGGATAAAGCTGTTCACACTGAGGGGCTGAGATCAACTGAGGATCCCCTCAGCCAATACTCAGTGATATCCTTTGGGTCCTTCTGATCCCAGGAATGCCCCTGAGGACTAGATGAGCAGCCCCTCAGCCAATGAGCAGTAAAATCCTTTTGATCCTTTTGATCTCACTACTGCCAATGAGGAATAGCTGAGCATATGAGCCTCAGGCTTCATTCTGGAGCCATGAAGCCTGAGGCAAGGCTGGCCCTATCACTCCACAAAATATAATATTTTCCGGGCGGAAAATACAAATACTGACACACAAAAATATTGAGCAGTCAGGAAGAGAGAGGAAAATACAAAAAAACTAGAGTATAAGCGGGCAAGCCCGCGACATAGGCTATAGGGTTTATGTATAAACCATATTGTCATTTACAAGAAGAGATGAACTATACGTGTAAGGGGAGGCAGAGCATCTACATAGACGGGTCGCAACCATTTCCTCGCAATATGTAACACTGTAACTTGTCCTGTTCCAATGGCACATACATGCCGAAATACAAGAATCATTTGTATTCTAGTAGAAAGGCATGAAGTACAAAATGAATCAGGTAAAGCAACAATTATACTTTCAAACGGCATGTATTGGCTATTGTTCCTCAACGCCCGAATCCAAAAACCTCATAATACATTCATTTCTATACTGAACGCAAACAATAGAGAGAGTTGCTAACTAAAAGCCCCGTCCGATTGAGAAGAACATAGTGACAGCATGAGCCTTACGTCGCATATCAGACTTTGGTATCTAACATCGCCTTCGAGAACGTTCCTTCCCACTCGATTCTACAAGTCATATCATGGCTGTGCGGCAAGCCCCGCTTTTGGATTTCCAAAATCTTCAACGTGCAGCCTGAATGAGGAATACAAATCAAAAAGGTGTCAATCATCATAAGGAAAGAATATATACGTACTTTCGTTGTCCTTCACATTATTGGAGTATCGTAATCTAATAACATGGATCTGGCAATCTTCGTATTCTTCGTTCATGTAATGGAATACGTAATCGCCATGTTGTTGTACCTCGATTTCCTCTCGAAGAGGGCACACAAGGATAAACGTAGTGTGATTATCTGAAGGATATGAAAAAATTAGCATGCCGAAAGCTTCAATTGAAGAATGAGGTATGAACTTTATCATGGCCGAGCCGTAAGTATTCTAAAAGTTCACTGCCATCTTTTTGCGACTGCACCTCCTGTATCACTTGATTCATACCGGGATGCTTTAGAGGGGTGCAAGAACTTCTATAATTCAGAAATGTAAAATTAAATTAGGAGCGACCAATAAAGCGAATTCACTTCGTGAGGAACAATGAAAACAAATCGAGGAACCTGTCTTTCAGCGTAGGGCGAAGATATAAGCGATGCCTGCATCGACAGATGATATGGCATAATTGGCGATTCAAATTGAATTCTTCACGCAACTCACTCTTAGCTCGACGTAGGCCTGCGTCCAACCTTCATACAGAATCGTGTACTAATGCAGGCGAGGAAACATTGGAAAGAAGTTGAATAGTCAGTTAGATCTCTTCGAAGAGATCAATCTAGATGAAGGTGACATACCACAATACACACAAATGCTTCTATGTTCCTTACACACGATTTAACAATACTCTTGATTTTTTTGACATATTGTCACATTAGGCGACGTTTCTACACATATACCGTATTCCTACATACCTCCAAATGCAAGTGGCAGACCCATCCAAATCATATCCCACTTCGTTCTTTGTCTCATAGCAGCATTTCATCACCCACATTTTAGTAAGTCATAACCTTTCGCAATCCCTTATATTCATCGAACTTCAATCAAAAAATCATCTCGACAATGAAACTGATGTTGCCGCATAATCGGAATCATCTAGGCATACCAATTGCCTATCAATTTTGGAATTGTCATCAAATTGGCATCGAAATCAAGGTCATCAATCATTTCAACACTGAATAATTTCTTGTGCTTATCTTTATGCAAAGTGACATGGTCCAAACATACCCGTTCAAACTCACATCAGTTTTTGACGTTGTTGCCAAGGTAAGGTATATCGCGGTGTGCTTCTAATATATATATCATTTCTAATAAACCCGAAACCATTAGGCAGGCCGAAGCTTGGATGGAACGCGCGATAGAAATTTTGCTCACATGGTCATAACCACTGATCCTGGAGGGACTGGTCTATCCGAATGGGCCATCAGAGGCATCGCCGATGGAGACATTGAAAACGCGATACCCGTGGACAGAACCTACTTTTTATGTGGAAGTCTCGTCGGAAATAATGCCGCCCCCCCCGAGTACTTCAAATACGCGCATCCTTACACCGAACTGTCAAAAACTCCGCCTTTTCAACCCGCAGACATCGTAAATTGTGTTGGAGTCATTGGTTTTGGTAAGGTCATTTCTTGCGAAGAAGATTTGAGTGAAACAAACCGTATTAGATTTCAACTATTGGTAGAGCATCAAGATTTCAGCTTATGTGTACGTTCACTTCTACTACGCCCCTGTCTGAAGCTACTCAATTGTATTTCCTTAGGGCGAGGCGATTCAAACTTTCCATGTCAGATACCGGGGTTTAAGAGACAATCTTGATTTCGAAGCTGTTTCCTTATGTGAGAAAGATGCAGAAGTCTTTATCAAAGGTTCAATTACACACCGTGACGAGGTATCCAACATCTGGATAGTGGACGTAAGCTGCTCTACGGTTCTCATTTTGTATAAAAAACTGACCTCTAGATATGTCAAATTTTTACAAGCAGATGAATGACTTGATCTTAACAGGTATTAAGTACGACATGAATTACAATGACCTTTCCAACTACCTGAGGAAGACCTCTTTATGATTATGCAATGATGGACATGAATGTAATATTCTCCTTCATAGACTTAATTCATATTGTGAAGGGTTATTGCGATTTGCCTCTTAGCGATAAGTTGAAATTGTACAAACTTTCCACATGTATTGCCTCTGCATTTCCCTTGTCTTAATGTGGCCAGAAGCAAATAAATCATAGTACAAAATAAGTTACAACCCCTGTCTCAGAAGCTTACAAACTGAATAAAATTAAGAGAAAATACTTATCATCTTTCTATGCTGATTATGTGAAATAATTTGAAGACTAATTCCGCGCCCATTACAATCCCTTTACCTTCACCCACATGGCGCTGACAACCGAATACTTACACGCAGCAATAACCTCAGTATGCTGATACCAAACATTTTAACTGCTTGATACTCGACGTAAAGGTTGCCGAAAATTCATCGTTTCAATACTCATCCCCTAGATTTACGCAATTCAATTATCTTCTGAGGCCTCAATCAAGTCTCGGCAAACAATGTTCATTGTTTCTGGGGCCCCGCTAGAAGTCGCAAGGACCAATCTAATGTTCTTCAGGATGCTGCACCGAGACAAGGCAACATATAGTTGTCCATGGGTGAAGACTGGTGACGACAAGAATATACCCACCTTCTCCAATGTTTGCCCTTGAGATTTATTGATCGTCATAGCGAAAGCCGAGATTATTGGAAATTGGTACCGCGAAAATGGGATAGGTTGCTCGAGGGTTCCACGATGAATCATTTTCATTTGAGGCATTGCAACAGTGTCACCTTTTTTAGGACCAGTTATTATCATGCAACGTAAAACTTGAACTGATACACTCATGATGATCATCCGTGTCCCATTACAGAGCCCTAAACTAAACATAAGTTACACATTAACATGACTGGCTGACCGATTTTCAATTTCAATTCATGCTCTGGAAAACCTACAAAGTCAATCGAATTTATGATATCTATAGACGTAGGCTCATGAAAAGTGGGATCGGGAGAGTCCCGAGATCTCGAAATGAAAGGATCACCAGGCAATTTTGATAGCATTGCGTTGTTGATTTCCTGGACTGTCGCATTCAATGGGGTGATGATTGCTCTATCCTGATAATATTGACCAATGTTGGCCCAATCATTTCTGCCAGTAAATTGAAAAATGTCATCGTATACCCAGTCGAGCAATTTCCGAGGAATTGGCGTGAAAGGTGGGACCCTATCGTAATTAACTTTATCAATGCTGACCATAGATTTGTTTTTATCTTGTAACCCACCTTCCCCTAGTTCTAATAACCACTTTGCGAAATTTCGCCGTTCTATCTCTTCAGAGCCTTCTAACGATTTGAGCCGCAAATTCTCTCTGAGCTTAAACTGCTTTATGCTTGACCAGATGAAAGATGACTTGAGGCAGACTCTTTTCTGTTCATTTAATGACCCACGCTTGACAACTGGCAGTGTCTGTCGAAAGTCACCGGAGAAGATTATGCTTTTGCCGCCAAAGGGTTTATCGAGTTTGCAGATGTGTCGTAGTGTTCTGTCGAAGGCTTCAACATCATATCTATTTTGCATAGATATCTCGTCCCAAATGATGATAGGGGTTGTGATAATCTTCATACTCTTCTTACATCGCCCATTTAGATCACATGTGGCATCGGGATCTGGAGGAATTGGAATGTTGAAGCCGTAATGTGCCGTAGTCCCATTAAGGAGAAGTATAGCCGATACTCCTGAAGAAGATACACTCATAGGTTTATCGCTATAACCATTGAAGTAGTGGAGGATGGTGTTTAAGGTGTAAGTCTTTCCAGTTCCGCCGGGACCATCGAGAAAGCTAATGGTTTGCTCCTTTTTCTTGTGTCCCTCCAAGACGTACTTAACAATTTCGTTCTGTTCATTGTTTAAAGTTTGTACCTGTCGGTTGAAAATAATTCTACTTGCCTCGGGATCAACGGATACAGATCTGGTTGCTGACAGCAGCTCCGGTTGAAAATCGTCTTTCAAAGCTAATAAAGATGAAGTGAAACCAACATCATTGATTGACTTCCCCATGTCTTCGATCACTTGGCCTAACAGTTGAAACCCGTATGAGGATATGACATCTTCGCTAATTGGTCGATGAACACCTAAATCTACCAATCTTGTCTTGCAATCTTTGGTCAATTCGATAGTAAATTTTCTCCATAGGGCGTCGGGACAAGCAACTTCCCCGTATACCAAGATGAGAGCAAGAAGATGGCGAAGTTGATTTGAAGACGACCAATGCGATGTCTCCGCAAGCGCTGTCTCGTGGTGCTTATCAGAAGTTAAAAGTCCTAATCTATCTGCCGCTTCGCGGAAAGTCGAGCATTCATACCCGTCGACCGTTTTCAAAGATCTGAATGACGTTGGCCCTCTAATATGGCAAAGCAACATTCTGAGATAATATTTATCACCGTCTGTCAGATTGGCGTAATAAACTCTGCCGACACTTGGCTTTGGCTGAATCCGACGTTGAAACGTCCCGTTCACCCATCGAAAATAGCGAGGGACCTCAACATACAATAAATCACGGGCGGGAACGTCGTCAAGTCCCAGCTCGCGATTCCGACATATGCGAAAGAATTCGGTTAGAGTTGAAGTCGGAGGCGGCTTGAGTTCGACTCGTGATACAGCTTTGTTTTCGTCAAAAAAATAAACAACTTGCTGATTCTCGAGACGGAGAGGCAATCGCATAACCGGTGGGAATGAGGAGTTCATTGGCAGTTTCATCAACCTGTGCGCAGCTATTGAAAGATAAGGCTATCAACCCTCTGCCGGTAACTACGTGGCCAAATTAAGGGTAGGAAAAAATACCTTCCGGAGCACTTATATATCTATATGTTTGAAATTCCAAAAGTTCATCGTGGACCATAATTTTTCCTGCACGGTGACCATGTCAACATGCGGCAATTCAGAAGGACAATTGATATAAGAAAATCTCACCTCCAGTAGTACTTTGCACCTCCATGTACACTTTGGCGCAATCATGTCCTTTAGTCAAGTATTTGTACAGATACCTGATAGGCTTCGTCCCGACCGGGATTTCCACGTTAATGTGGCACTGCAATAATAATAGTAAATATTTATTATATGGCACAACATGGCCATTGGTGAAAGTAGCACCTCCTTTCTTGAATTTGTTTCCGTCATTTGGCCTCTTGTACGACGGGAATGAGTCATCCGATAAGCAGGACTCCTCGCAGAACGGTTTGGGAAATGAAAGTCGGCAGTGACCATCTTTGTAACACAACATTCCCTTACGGCACGGACCGTGAAGCATATGGGATGTAACAAGATTGTGTAAAGTCGATTCGGTGATAGGATCGGGGATAGTGGCGGTGACCAGTCGGTTGACATCATCTGCAGTCACCGGCTTCGATTTTTTGTCGACAATAAACAGTAAGTGCGCATGAGGCAGACCCCGTTTCTGGAATTCAACGACCATTAAATAAGATATAACTACGCCTAATCTTTGGTTATCGACTATTTCTTCAATAAGCTTTTGTAGTTTTAAATGAAACACTCTTGCAACTAAATCTGGCCTATCTTGTGCCGACTCCCCATATTCCAACTCATCCTCAATCTCCTTCCATTTAGGATTTGCAGTCATGGTTATAAACAGACTCGGGTTTCCAAATTCACGCACTAATGCCATTGCATCGTGAAACAATTGGTTCATATCTCTCGGCCCACCTTTGAATGAAGAAGGTAAAATGAGCTGTCTTCCGGGCGCAGTTTGACTTTCATTGAAGGCTTCTTTTATTCCTTGATACAACTCGGCTCTAATTTTTTTTTGATTGAAACGGATGTAATCTAATTTCCCCCTTTCGACGCACAAATACAAGTCTACGATCAATTGTTGAGAGAGTCTCCGTCCATGAATGAAAGGATTAAATTTGTCAAGCCTATCAAACAGTAGCCAAGCGCCCCACTCAAGACTGGTAACCTTGTAATCCTTACGCTTTCCTATGTTATAAATCATCACATAAATTAGCAATGGAGAATTCCTTTCGAGAACGATATGCTAACTCACTACCAGGATTAGTACCCATTGTAGGGGACCTGTAGTTGTCATCCCATTGCTGGGATCCGTATGGGAGCAAGAGGGGATATCGAAGAGACAAATATGGAGTATGCAAATCCGTCATGTAAAGTAATTTGCCATCTTTCCGACTGACTTTGATATGGCGTGGTTTTGCATCCAGAAAACTGCCCTCCTCAACTAATGCTGCTATGTCGTCAGGATTTGGCTTGTTGTAAGTCTTCGCATCCCTTCGCGAGGACGATAACGACTTAAGCACTATAGTCATGCTCTTCTGGGTAGCTAATATATCAGACGCGTTCCTGAATACTTTCGCATATGGGTTGACGCGGTGCATGACATCTTGTAACTTCCGCGTGATGTCTCGTTTAAGCTTGCCTTCCTTGAAATGCTTCAATCGATTGTCAACTTCTTCTTCGCCACCGTTGCCTAAAAGGAAAATTTGGCCATATCATGCTGGATCTTCGCCGTCGGGATAAAGTGCAGGAATTTTATGTGATAATTGGCCTGAAACTTTGAAAGTACCTACGCCCTTTTGACCCATGACGGAACGGTCTTGTTTTGCACCAAGAGATGAAAAAGACATAGCATTGTTGTATGACGTTATGTTGGATTGAAATTCTCTAGCCTCTGTCAAAACACAAGTTAGGAACAACCTCGGACATTGGAAACAGGAATATACAACTTACGCGGAGAAGATGAGGTGAATAGCTCGAACAAGTCGTCCGGCAGCGGTGGACCGTCGAAGTCTGCCATGGGCAATTTGACATCGCCATATTGACAGCAATTCATGTATAATTCTTTTTTGTCCTTGGTGTTCTCCTTCGTTCTCTCTTGACCCCATCTGCAAGCGTGGCAATGCATGCAGACATGATTCATAGGGCCAAGAGCATATGGGAGCTGACCCGGAAATCGCTTCATTAAAGATGACTCATTGTTATCAGAGACGGTCGGTGCAGCTAATCCAATGAAAATGTTCTTCATTTAATCAATGTGTGGGGATTTATTGTTGGAGAAGATAGTAGGATAGAAACGATTCTATATCTTGAGATGTGGGAGAGTTTAATGGCGATAGGTGTATAATGGGGCTGCGGTGCTTGGAATAGAGATGGTGAAATAATTGATAAGTGATAATGAAATCGGGGTGTAAGAGGAATCCTATATTTGTTCAAAGCAGTGAAGGTTATTGCTCACTATAGCTGAACTTATGATGTTGAATCTGCAGAACGAAAAGCACACATTGTGTTGCAGATGTGCGCATAAGCCCTCATCAAAATGCATCTATATGCACTCGACTTTTCAATCTTCAATAGGAAATTGTAGGTAACATTGATGATGTCATCAATTCACACAATGGAAATGAACGTGTTTGTCTGTCGTATTGAGATTGTAAGGTCGGTGCATGCTTTCCGATTCCTCGACGGACAAATCCCTCTTCATCGAGTCAAGCGGAAAGGAGATTGAAAGAGACAAAGAAAATAGATGGCCTATAAAGGTACAAGAAAGGTAATAAACAAGTTGGTCTACACAAAGAGTTTCCATTTGGGTATACTTTTGAGATCAAGAAACGCTTAATAGGACTCCGGTTACATTTCATTCACATTATGAACCGGACAAGGACAGCAGCCATGAAAGAACACAATTCTGCGTATAGTGGATCTGGTAGGCTTATAAGCCGGGGTATGACATGCCAATACTTGGAAGCATTTAGCCTCGCAATTTCACCAGTAAACCAAAATATTGATTCAACAGAGGTTATTTCCCTTTGATTTTGAGTACCCAACAACATCATTCATCATAATTGCCAACTATCATTCCTCTAAAACCTCTAAGCTATTTGTACAAGTTAACAATGCGGACATCAAGAATATTAGACTCTACGTATGTCTCCGGTTTCGGTATCGTCAACTGGGTCACCTTATCATTGGAGGAAGCGACCATTGAGAGAGAGTTACTCGGGCAATTGCTGGTAGACTTTATCATAGGTAAGCTAATACTTCCCCTCGATGGAAGAACGTTAACTGACCCGCTGTCATTCTAGAATCTCGCGGTAAAACAAGACCATTGTTTCAATCGGGTCGCATTACCAATTCAACTTCGGGAAGAAATTATACCTTTGGTATATTGTTACAAAGAGGCAACTTTCCTGAGATACAAATTGTGGAGTTTTAATTTCTGGACACTACATGTTTTCTCCACTTGAATGATAAATCTTCATTAGAATAAATTTGTGCATTAAAATGACTTGGAGAGGCTTTCTTCTCTGCGTCAACTTTGCTGTCCTTTGGCATACAATTTAATAAATTGCAATCCTTATGATTGACGTTTGAGAAAAAAGTTGATCTCAAGTGACACATTCAAAAGAAAAGGTAAGAAGGAAAAGAAATATTGCGGAGTGGACCTGAGTATGAATCATTGATATTAAGATGTTACATGGTATATCTTCAAATGATTGGATGCGGTAAGTAATAATACCACTGAGAATGAATCGCACTTTAGTATGAGCTATGATGATATGTAAAACACAGGTCGCGTGTTAGGAGGGCGCCTTGACAAAGGCGTGACCTCACTTTATGGCCTACTCGGCATCCGAGCCGCTCGGTTTAGTTCGTTTACTCGCAGGCCGCGAAGATGAAGCAGTTGAGACAGCTTTCCCTTTTCCCTTCGGGTTAGGGGGAATTGGATTCTCAGCTGAGGACGCGTCGTCGAGAGAGCTGATGGCCGCAGGTTTCTTTGATGCCGCACCTGGAACAAATCTGCAATTGAGAGTTTCAGTATGAGCAGTTGAGGATGGTCGTTGTATGAGAACTTACAGTTTACCTCTTGCTCGGCCTCCCGGGGTGCCTAAGGAAGATCCTGTAGACGGAACAGTTGACGATTGGCCCGACTCATGCCCGGTGGTGATATTCACACCCGTCACCTGCATTGTATGGCAATGATCAACTCAAAAATTCTCAAAAAGGACAAAGATGGAATTGCGTACCTCAACAGACCACATATTGCAAGAGGGTATATACCCCGTGATACGTCCAGTGAGAAGTGCCTCTCGACGAGGGACCAAGAGACTTTGTAACTTGGCCATGAGAGGAGACCAGTTGCACCTGTATTCGACTTCAAAAGTGTCTTGATCTCGAATCTGACGTGGGACACGAGTGATTGGTTGTGTAGATCCCCAGGGAAAGACAACTTACGGCAGGATTGAAGTCTGAGTGCTCCACTATGATGATAACGTTTTCTTTCCCCGGACTAAGGGTCTCGACTTCTTGCGACGCGATAACACCGAGGCCAGTCACAGAGACCTTGTTTGCTAGGTCAGCTCGAAAAGATTCGGATTGTGAAATTGAGATGCTATTCTCAGGTTCATAATATAATACCTGAAGATCATCATGGTTGAGAGCTAGGATACGGCCTTTTAAATAGTAAATAGTGCCATCGCTGAGGATAAGGTCAGGCCCAATATATGCTGACACTTTAATGGCACATTCAAGCATTTCTTCAGTATCGCGGTTGGTGACCACGATTGTGGTCATACATTCGCGGAAACCATATTGACCCGCAATTTCCGTATCAATCTAATAAATGAGTCAGTAAGAGTGATATACGAAGCAAAGAAGAAACTTACTTGTGACAAGACATCAAACAAGCCGGAAGTGATGAACAGATGATTCTTTTTACGTGTATTACCAACGGCACCACGCGCATATCGAGTTGGTGAAGACTGGGATGAGAGTTGCGTTGACATCTAATCGAGGGGAATGGGAAAGGGAGGAAAGAGGGTGAAGAGTGGAAATTAGGTCATAGGAATATTCAGCACTTCTGAGAGAATAAAGCAAAAGACGTGTTTAGGATAGGTAGAGATGGAGGGTTGCAATGTTACCTTTTTCAAATGAGGTTAGATAGTCGATGGGGACAATGCAACCATCTCGAGGTATGAGAGGTGGATATATAATGGAGCATAATGCACACAGAGGACTTTCAGCTCAAGGGGAGAGTTTGGGACACGTGGAGGGTGACAATTTTGGTCACGACAGTCGGTGATTCCCCTGCATTGATCTCTCTATGCAGAGAAAGACACAAAGCTTCATATCATTTCCGGTATAAGCAATAGGGCGATAAATTAAAATTAAGACACAGATTCAAGTCCACATAGGATGCGTAGAAACGTATCACTCAGTCGAGCTGGAATGATAATGGGAAGTTCATGCGTCAAAGGCTAGGGGATAGGCTGTGTTATTATTAGATAACGCGGATCAATGGACAGGGAGACCACCAGATACAAGTTTGTCTCAACGACACGCCAAATGACTAAGTGGAGATGTAGCTAAATGATCTGTGCTTCAATCAGTAGAAGATCAACGTCTCCAGGTAACATAACACACTCTTCTATAATGGCCATTGAGACTGGATATTCCGCGGGTTCACCACCACGGCGGTAACCATTGAATAACAGGGTACAGGCGGCTGCATAGATGCGACAATATAGAGTCAGTGTCACTCTTATGGTATGCAGGGATGTTGCAAAATTACTGACCTCCATTACAACATTTGCCAGGCGAGAAGTCTAATTTAGTAAATACACAATGAGGCATGCGATGTTTGACATCTACGATACGAAACGCAATGTTGTTATAAAAATGGACACGGTATGTAGCACCATCTTGATAGCTCAATTTGAGGTCTCCATCTGAACCTATAAATCGGAGAAAGCTCAGCCTAACAATCGGGTAGACATAAAAGGGTACTTACGACGCCGAAATTGTTGCTTAATTTTCAAGCACACCGCGGCTAAGTGCCACCCCATTCGAGATATTGGCTGAAGCCTAATGTGGCGAGATATTCTGAAGTTATGCATAGGCCAAGTGTTGTAAGAAAGGGAGTTGTTGGTTGAAGTTGGCAGAAGTAGAAGAGAGGGGGGGTTTGAACCACACATTGTCATGGAAGTCGGCGTGTAAATTTACATAAATTTGAAACCATTGTTATAGTTATGGACGGAAGTGGCAGTAGAATAAGGACATCATGAGGTTAGGTAAATTGTCGCCATCGCAATTCCTTCTCCTGGATATAGAAGATCTTGAGAGTAAGGTTATTGTTATTACATTTGCGGGCGCGACCCGTGATAAAAAGTACCACAGTCATCTGAAAAAAAGGAAATAGGGAGAAGTGACTGGTGGTGGCACAATGTTCACCCTGCATACTTACTTCTCAATTACGGACATGATCATGGGTAGTAGAACAGTGAAATTGAAATGGTGTACGTACTTCGACATAGGATAGTACCATAAACACGTCCAAGACTGTTAAGTAAAGTCTGCAATTACTGGTCAAGACACAAATGCCTATCTTTTCAAACCTCAACATCGTGGGATCTCCATTCGACAACACACAACTTTTAAACATAATTTACGACAATTTCTCATCTCGTAAGTAAAGAACATCATTTTATACAACGGGACACTGACTTGCACCTGTTGTAAAGTTGCAAGGCCTACGAAGCTTCTTGTAATGGAAACTGGGGTCCGAGTACGTTTGCACAGATGGCAAAACTACGCGTTTTACATTCGCGACGCAGGCACTGCGAGGGCCTCGGCCAGGGCTTTCTACATTCCACCTCCGCGAGAACAACGCGACCCAGAACGTAAGTCATATATAAAATATGGATGACGATATTGATGCTGACTAATAATTGTAGGTTACCTCATTGCGCTATTTGATATCGGCAATAATGGTCTACTTTCCAATTTAATGGAAATCAGGCAGTTGATGTGCTACATTGACATAAAGAAGACGGAGATGGAAGAGGAGGATTAATGTGCTGGCAAGAGAGAGCCGCTGAGTGTGAGAGAAGGAAGTTCGACGGACTCCGATTGTCATAACGTTCGATGCAATGTTTGTGAGACGCAGAATGATATATACAGTGGCTGAAACTATACTATCAAGAGTAGAATATTGTTCCTATCGAGACAAGCGACCATGATAAGTTGAGACTGTGTAAATGAAAGGAACAGGATATGAATTAAGCATTTGCCCGGGTATACATGAAGGAAGGAGAGGACACATGGCAGAGAACGCCCCCAACTGTAAGTACAGGAAGATAGAATGGAGATTTCCCTGAAATAGTGCATAATTACAAGGGAATCAAAATTATACGGGAGTCTATATGATGAAAACTGATCCTACTGTCAAAAGGAGTATAAATGCATAGGATTTGCGAAATGAGATGCGCATATTAGGTGAAATTGACCAGATGTTGATGGATTCTTTCAGACATCAGAACCTGGGACAAATCAGAAGGGCCTAAAATCATTTCATCGATAATGTAGATGTCGTGCGTGTAAGGAATAGTAGAGTTTCCATTCATGTCGGGCAAGAACCAGTCCAACTGGCATTTACCTATAGTCATAAGGAGAGTCAGAATGATCAATCAAGTTCAAGTATGAGACAAGCATACCTTCAGTGTTTGGTGGGTAATGCGAGAAGGAAATGCAACTCAATACGCATCTGGCAGTCGGAAGGTTGGAATCGAGCACGCGGAAAGCAAATGAACCAAAACGATGAACAGAGCGAGTTGAACCATCGGCGTAGGTCAAAATCGCATCACCATTGGTTTCTGGCACAGAAATAAGATAAGCTATCTATGCGGAAGGCATCTATGATAGGATTCTACCAACGTGTGACAAATTGCATTTGAATAAGATTGAGGAGATCAGTAATGCCAGGAATTGATATTGACGGGTCGGGACCACAGATGTATTTAGGCATAGTGAAAAATTGTGATATTAGGTATATTTGAAAGTGGGGAAAAACGAAGGGAAGGAAATGAAGACATACCGGGTATAAATGGACGGAAAACAACCAGTAGGAATACAAAAGTAACATATAGAGACCAAATAACACCGATAGGACAAATGAGAGGGATTTGGAAATATTGGAAAAGAAGGAGAAATAGAGAAGCGGGTCCCTGGATCAACATGCCACTTTAGAGCTGATAAGAATTGGAGAAGAGGACAAATGAGCATGGAAGAGACGAATGTAGAAATCGAAACAATAACGATTCAATGGGATGGAGAGGGTCAGGTTACTCAGATGTGAACCTATTATTATGCCAATAAGAATTTAATGGCATTTTGCCTATCTAGGCCATAAGAGAGGACGAAGTCTTCCAAGCGTAATGTCGGAAACAAAGATGACACAATGAGGACAATGGGTTAGGGAGAGGTGCTTTCAATTTACATTTATCAATGAAAATTGGTGAACAAAGAAGCAATGACTACATAGAAAAGAGCGAGGAAGTGAAAGTAGACATCATTTACGGAAATGGCAATCAATGGCAAAGGTCATTTTGCACATCAAAGATAAAATAAGGGGAACACAAGGAGGAATGAACCGCATCATCGAATTTCGAAATCCCTCCAGAGAGCGATATTATCAAGGCCTTATCAAACTCTGTATACATAAAAACATACAACCAACTTCATACCATGGATCTACATATCGCTACCCATTCTGCATTTTTCGAGCGGCACGGTTTAATCACATGGGATACAATCATATTCTGGAAGCATCCTCTCCCCAGTGCTGCTTTGGCGAGAATAGTCAAAGTCATCAGTCGAGGTACCTATTTAGTTCTAATAAATAATGCATCTGACATGATAGCTGACGTGGCAAATTTTGTAGACCGACAAACTGTCACCGGCGGTATCCGAAGAGTCGGGTCATTCGGGATTAGTGATATGGGTGTCAGATTTAAGTTCGTGTTCAATATAACGGTGGAAGGGGAGGCATCGCTTATGATAAAGGAGGAGGAAATGGTCTCACCTGTGGAAGAATTAACCATGAGTTTCGCTTCGCACAATTTGTCTGAAGCTTAAATGTACTTTCAATTAGTGAGAACATGAATATAGCTTTATTTTTATCTAGAATGATTCCAAAACCCATCCATGGTGAAGTAGCTTTTTGACGCGCGAGCACGTGAGGGGAGTAGGATGGTTGGGATCAATGCTGCAGTTCTTCATATGGACGTCCAGCATATGCCTAGTACGAGTGAAAGACAATTGACTGCATATGACATTTGCATGGCCCACTCTATCTGAAGGCGTGTATATGCTGGTCATACAGACGTTTTACCCTGATTTGTATGCTTCGGGGATGATAGAAACCCTGGGTCTGGTGGAATCAGTTGTATGGTGCGCGTAGGGGACGAACGGAATTAATGGAGACGGAAGTGTATCAATAAATATTACAAGGTGTATATCTTTGTGGGTGGGACACAGATGAGGCACTCCTCTGAGTTTTAGTTGTTGTAGAAATGGACATGGAAAGTCGACTTGGAGATTATCAATGACATTTGGTACTGCAGAAATATACAAGTATATAGAAGTTGGATATGATGAAAGCATAATCAATTAGGATGAGGGCATGGTGTTGAAACACTAATGTACAAACTGGTGATATATCAATGAGGGTTGCGCGGAGGATAGGCAGGAATCACAATAATTGAATAGAAAGACACAGTGGAATTGTAGCGATAAGTCAGTGCGAGGCTGAGGGATCATTATGCGGAATACAAGAAGATGTATTGCATAAATGAGCTTAGGGAATGAAATACATATAATCTTTTTAATAGGCATCCTAAAGCGAATGTGCAGGGATATGGTAAGCAGACAAAATATGTAATGAAAAGGGAAAGCAGAGTTTTCACAAGTTATCAGGGATCATTGCGTGAAACATTGAAGTCTCTGAGATGACATTTTGTGCCAGGACACGGTAAGTTGAACCACTGTCTAAAGGAAGAGTGCCATCGGGGCATTCGAAGATTTTGACAAAGTAACCTGCTAGCAACAATTATTGAGCATAGTGGAAATATAAACAATAATGAATGAGGCTTACGATCGTTTTCGGGGGAATCCAAATTGCGATCGAGATGGAATGCGAGGCATTCACAATGGTTAGTGTTTCGGTACCGGACAAGAAAAGCGTAATTGCACCATACGTGCATTTTCACGGCAACGCCCGTCTCAAAGAGTAGTAGAAAGGGCGGAGGCTTGTCTGCAAAGAAAGGGAGGGGATATGTAGTCACAGGTCGGCATATATGGAGGTATATGGCCTATCGGAACGGGACGTACCATCGACGAAGAGCGAAAAAATGAGGTTGAGTAATGTTTGGTCAGCGAACGCCGCGGTTACCAAGTTATTGGTGGAAAAGGCAGGCATGGCAGAGGGAGGTGGAGGGTAATATTTGTTGTGATTTTGGTGTGGTTTGATTGGTGAGTGCTATAGGGGTGGAAGGGATGGTATTGTAGTGTGTCCAGTAACAAGTTATTAGACGAATGATGAAAAATTGAGGGAAAATGGAAAAAGGGATACGCCGAAAGGGTTGTATTGCTTGATAGAATGGCAGCCTTTTATAGTGGAAAGAATGCTCATGACGTAGCCAAATGGGGATGTGGCGAGAATAAGGGACAGAGAAAGAATCGAGAGTGTGTAAATTTG